GTGGTCATGGTTTGATTTGTATGTGTTATAATAAACTATATAGTAAATATTATCACAACATGTGACCCTTAATACTATTGTTTGGATCATGAATCTAAAACCTTGAGTTGACCATATGAACATTTAAATCCTTGATGATATGATGCATTAGTTATACGAAAATCTACTGGTTGAAAGATAACATTCGATTAGAATTTTCATTAATAGCATTAATTAATGATGTAAATTCAAAGAGGGTGGAAACATTCAAAAAGTGAGAAAAACAAACAAGTACCGAAAAAAAAAGAGTAAAAATAATAGTATATCGTAAAAAACTGTGAAGAAGTTTTTTTGTCAACTTATAAAACTAAAATAAGGGTTTATTAACCAAAGACTAAATTTTGAAAGACCATATAATCGCAAAAAATATGAAGTGAAAATATTTTATTCAGTTGCTTTCATCTACAGCTACTATAAATTTGCAAAATACAGTTGTTTCAACAAAGTGACGATATATTTGTCTAGTCATTGGGTCCATCCGAATCTAGAACCCCAACTTTTAAAACTATTTTTTCTTAAAAAACACCAACTTTTAAAAAATTTCATTCGTTTGTCACGGAAAAAAAGAAGCATCACCGCTTATCGTTTGTAGAACCGCCTCGTCAATACTCACCTGATCTAGGGAAACGGTTTATCCATGTTGTAGTTCAGAGTATATGTTTAAATAACTTCCTAAACTATAAAAAACATGCTTAAACTAAACATATTCAAAATTAAATTTTATTCCTTCAACCCGAACTATAAACCCGCGGCTAAAACTAACATTAACTGAAAATAAATTAGTTGTTATAAACCCAATTAGTGGATGCCCATTAGAAGCCCATAATCTAGAAGATTCTATCTTGTTCTCCAAGTTAAGTTTCCTCTCCAAGTTATTACTCCTCCCCAAGTAATTGTATCNTATATATACNTTTGCTCTCTATTGGAATAAGACACACAATTCTCTCCATTCTCTTCTTCTCTCATTCATAACACGTTATCAGCACGATAGATCTAGCTAACTGAGAAAACCCTAGCCGACTTCTCTCCTTATTTCTTGTCTATCTCTCATCCGATCCAAAATCAAGGTATATGAGTTTACGTTATGATTCGATTGATAACATACAAATAAATGTATGTCTGTTGATCGAATAATACTCACGACACATGCTTACGCATATTACTTATTTTATCATTTGATTTATTGGTTTGATACAATACTTTGATGCAATCTGTTTCATCGTTTTCTGTTTTGTTTTATATGAGTTTGACTTGCTCGTTGATTGGAACTTTGATTTTATTAATTTGCCGTATGTGCTTGCTTCGCTACTGTTGATTATAATTATCTTAG